AGTAACATTTTCACGGGCTCGTATATAGGAATCACGCATACTCGAAGGCAAGGTTTGAACTCATTACGACTTACGTGGACCGGGAGTATCCCCTTAAAATTCCAGTCTTCTACCTTCTCAGGTTTCTGCATTAGCAACTTATCCAAAGAAATAAAAATATTTTAATGTTGGAACAAGAAAGCTAGTGGTGTTAAAAAATTAATAAAACTTGAAATGTATTGAAAATATTTTATAACGGTAACAAATGCTTCGGTCCATTAAGTCGTATACATTTTTTACTATTACCACAACTGAACCTCGTCAGTACGACGACTGTGGTAATTAGTATGAATCTAATTTTAATTTAAATAGATATGTTATTGAAACTAGTACAGGTAAAGATATAAGTTAACTGTGGAAGAAGAAAGTAAAGTTGATACCCAAAGAAAAGTTTCACGGGCCCGTACGTGCGAACCACGTAAACCCGAGGGCTGGGTTTGAACTCATTAATACCTACGCGGATGAGAAACATCTTAAAATTTCAGCTTTCTAGCTTTTCTGTTCCCAAGTTAGTAGCTTGCCTGCCGAAAACTTTGGCGGGCCTTACATGGGTACCACGCCCATTTTGGAGATTGGAGCCTGTAGGTGCATGTAAATTAAGTTCCCTAATTTTCAGCCCTGTAATTTTTATAAGTTTTGAAATGGAAATTCGATAAAGACGCACACACAAACACAGACACACACACACACAGGCAACCCTTTGTCAATACGCGTTTTCTGCATTGCATAGGTGCAAAAAACGCATAAAAAGGAATTAAAGACAGCTAACTGAAAGCAGCAAAAGTCAAAAGCAAAAACAAAACAGTTGCCGCGAGCAGTTCAGAAAACCGAAATGAATAATCTTTAGGTTCTATGAGTTTCTTTGAAGTTCTATATTGTACATTTAAAGTGCGTGGCCATGTCGCTCAATCAGGCTCCTAACGCAAACAAATAAGAATTTGAAAACTCTATCTCACGCGCAAAATATAACAACTGATATAAGTAATTTCAAATGTCAGGCAATTTATGAATATGATATATAGTTCAACTATCCAAAATGCTTTTTAAAGGGTGGGTAAGAGGTGATACAGTCAGGATGGATTTTTATGCGTTTTTGCTGTAAAACGTTATAGCACTGTTACAGCGAGCAAAAAAATACACTGTCAAGAGATCGCCTGTGTGTGAATGCTTGGAAGCGAGTGAACTTTGTCATCCACTTTCGACTCAGTAGCCAGGAAAACTGGGAACTGAAATTTTGGAGCCATAATCCCATCACGTGTGTAACTCTCCCGTTTTAAAATTTTCGTTCTTACGCGCCTAGACATCGCGTAGGGATCCCCGAAAAAAATATGCAAATTTCTTTGGCGGGAAACGATTTCGCGAACCAGGC